TTAGCTCACCTGTGACCATCCAGGCGGATGTTTCCAACAAACTCGTACAGGTGCCGGTTTGGGCTCTCGCATTCCATCTTCCCCGACAGCCGTACCAGGTTCTCAATGTCCCTAATGTCCGCCGTCACTTGGAGACCCTGTTGGTCAAAACAGTTTGACTACCTTCTACCTGCTAGAAACATATGCGACTAAAGAATTGAGGAAATCGATACCAACCTGTCTGATTTTAAGGTTGGTCTCCCCATCCAGATTAGATGTTTCAATGTAGCACATACCCTGTGGTTCACTGTTAAGGAGGGAGAACACAGAAACTTGGAGCAGAGAAGAAACCGCTAATTATAATCGGTAGGGAGCTACACTAGAGTGAACTACTGTATTTCAATTGTTTTAAAAGTTAATAGTTAGCAGATCAAAAGGTAAATCAATGCAGAAGCTACAGTAACAGCAGAGAAAGACAGTATAAAGTCTGTATCACCAAACAAAGATGTTGAAGCCAGCATAACTGCCCCCCAACGTCTGACTGACAGCTTCTGTTTAAAATACAGTTGGCCAACATTTTTGTTTGAGGCTGCTGTTTCCCATGAGTCTAACTGTCTTTCCAGAGAAGCTACACTAACGTCCAAAGGGACAGAGAGAGGAAACATCGGGGGGGGTGACAGGAGCAAGCAGGCATACCAAGCACAACAAACAATGCAGACAAATGGGCCTCAGACAGACTTTTGGCTCAGAGACAGAGGGATGGATCATGCCTGTGGTGAAATGCTGAGCTGGTTAGCAGAATAATAGACTCACTAAATGTTTGATGGATTAAAGGAGCAGAAAGATGTTCTGATTACAAAAAACTAAACAAAAAAGCTGTATAAAATTATTCATACACTGTGTGAACAAATCGTGCAGAATTAGAAATCAAAGATGTCCTCTGTGCGACATCTTTGAATGCATTGGCAAACAAACTAATCAGTAAGAAAGCTGCTGCATTGGATGCCATGCAACGGTATTAATGTGGACAAAAATACTAACAGACAGGAAAGAGCATAATTATGTCGAGGGAGCAGGTCTCCCCTCACTTTGAGCAGAAATGTTAGGAATACATTAAAATATGACTTTAACAATATTAAGAAAGAAAACATAAAATTCCTCCTTCAACAGGCAGACTACTTTATAGTGATACCAGAATTTACAAATGAAGACTTTTCTGAGGAGCTTTGTATATGTATTCATAAGTCTTTAACATTTTAATATGTTACAACCACAAAACAGAAATTAAAGCACAATTACACCTTTTTTATAAATAAACGGAAAGCCTGGTTTGCTGAGTCAGACAGTAGAGTCAACCTTTGCTGCATAGCGGTTACCTGGTTTCATTTCGATGCAGTATTTCCACCCGGAAGGCAAAACTACAGACTGATTTTTCCATATTTCTCTCTGAAAAGCAGCTCAATCTCTGGTAGACTGCATTGGGAGCATCTCTGGACGTAAATCGTATTGCTTTTTCTTTCTCATCAAGACTCAACTGTTGCATTTAGCCCTGGCGCTGCCTGCCTAATGAGCGTACATCAAGGTGAACTAATCCATTGTAGCTCAGGTTCCATGTTTAAGGTCACAATCCAGCTGACAGGTGAACTTCCGCCCCTATTTAAAGACTTCAGCAGCTTCTACCAAGTTTTCTTCCACACTGGAGTGTATTCAGCTTCGCCCATCTTCACATCGGCGCCGACCAGCTTTCCTCTCCCTCATGGCCCTTTTTCAACCAGTGGCTCTCTTTTAGCAGCCTAATATTTCTGGATTTCACAGTTGTGAAAAATCCTCTAACCTGAGCTTTTGATCTCAGCATCCACTCCTGGTTTTCAGATGACGGACTCCTCTGTGCCATGTTTAAAGCTTGGCCTTCTTTATTTATTTTTTTACTTTTTGAAGGACCAACCCAGCTTTATGCATAACCTGTCTGATGTGTTCTTTGGTCCATCTTTGTTGACCAACCCTCTGACTTCAGAGAAGAGCTGGATTTATAGGCAGCGTTTATGACTGAGATGACTTCAGAGCAAATGGACAAAATAAAAATTTACACCACATATTTTTATTTGCAAAACAAAGTTTAAAGTGGATAAATTTCCTTCCATAGTTGTGCACCGCTTTGTGACGGTTTATCACTATAAACTTAATGAGAATACTTCACGTTTATGGTTGTAACGCAGAAAAATGTAGAAAACAAAGAGAGAGCAAGACCTTAAACGGTCCAATCATCTGGCCCCTTCCTTCCTGTAACACACTCCCATTTGATCCCAAAGCTCCCATCTCTCCCACCGCTGTTTCAGTTGGTTATTTAGATGGTTTGCTGACCTGGACGACAGAATGACGAGGTCAGCCGGGAGATGATCCCCGTTTGCAGCTCTGACTACTTCCCCAACAGCCACCTGATTTTACCAACCACACACCAGCAGGGGGCGAGACGGAGGAGGTGTGGCAGAAGTTTGCACAGGATGCAAGAGAGGATGAAGGAGGGGTTAAAAAAAAAAATAGGGGAGAAGGACATGGGAGAATAAAAGAAGAGAGACAATTGATTCAGTTTTAGGGAGACATGAAGAGCAGGATGATCAGTCCTGTATGATTAGAGGTATGGTTCTCTGTGAGTTCTCCTTTTCAGAAAACCATCTAGAATAAATGCAAAACAATGAAACTGCTGCTTGGGTAAAATGCTGCACCAGAGCAGGATCTTTGGTTTAAATATCTTAGAGGAGTCAAATTATGTTTTTCAAATCTATAACAAACGGTTTCTGAAGAGGAGAAGGAGAACATCAGGCTTATGAAGACATGACTGCTCGGATCGAACCATAAAACCAAGTTACTCCCAACCCAAGTAAAGAAATGATGGTCGCTATCCTGTGCACAAAAGTTTTTAATGTTTCTTTTTTATCTACATCAGATTTATAGCTCAACATTTTGACTTAAAGCATAAATAAACCATCATTACTTTAGGGTAGAGCTGAGAGTGTCAGAAAGAAATGGGGAGAACGATTCCCAAAGTCTTTCAGCAAGGAGATTCCTATACCTGGATGATAAAATGACAGCATCCGCAGGAACAAAATCACTGCCATTTACTCTAATAATATCACCCACTTCGACCTGTGGAAAATAAAATGGTTACTGCTGGCTATAAAAACAGCACAGGAAACATGAAATCAGCTCTGGGAATAAAAATGAACAGCAGGAGAGCTAGAAAAAGAAAGATTAAACCACAGAACCATCTAATAATGATGAGAAGAGCCTGATGGAGCAGCTGAAGTCGTCTTTCATTACCACTGAACCCTGCACATAGTTCATTATACAGTAACTAAAGCAGAAATATATTTTCATAAAAAGCAGTCTATTATTTAAATACAAAACAACAAGTGAAAGGGTTAAAAAATATAGATGAAACATTGGTCACTTTAGCTTCAAGATGCCCTAAAAAGAAATAACCTAAACTGCACAGAAATTTCAGAACAGAAGATGCTTCTGCAAAATGCATGCTAAAGAGGAAAAGCTCATCTATTATTTAAACTTTGGCTTTTTAGAGACTCCCGAGTCAATAAAGGGATAAAAGGACGAGACATCCACGTCAAACCAGAGAGGAGAGCCACAGATTTCCATCCAGGGCGAAGAAATTGAAACATACGTCATAAAAATAACAGTTTCTTACTAATAATTAGTAAAGGAGGGGTTTGTTTGCAATCATTTTGATATAATCTTTGACTCTAACAATGGGGTAGAAAAGGAAATGAATGTTATGCAGAAATAGAATGCGAGAAATAAGAAGCCGAAAAAAAATGCTCTCCTTCTTCTACAGTTTTTATTGCACAGATTTATATGATTATTAATATTACTGAACTGAATTGATCCTGTGAAAGTTCTGCACCATTCTCCAAACTCTAATTTCTTTCTCATTTATTCTAAATTATTTTCTTTTAAGCATCCAGACCTTAAAAAATGTAAACAAAAAAAACAATACTGTTCCCTCATGGGAACTGTCCCGGAAGCCTCCAACATGGCAGTCCTCTTCCAACATCCAAATTCTTCCACAAATATTTTCTGCTTATCCTAATTTTACTGCAGGGTGAGTGTGGAACCTGCAGCATGTTCAAAAGGCATCTGCTGATGCTGAACAAGCCCGTAAACATGTCATTAAATAGAAGGAAGTAGTGTTGTACGGACCATTTTTTAGAGATCCGACTAAAAGAGAAAAATAGATTGAGCTAAAACGTCTTGTCAGTTACAAACAGCTCTCTGTAGCTCTGATCTGCCCACTGGCTGGTCAGCTCGGGACAGACAAATGAAAGAATTGTATTATAAGAAAAGAGAAGAAGCTTCTCTTTGTCCTCTGATCTCACTTTGCAAAGGTCACCACCACAGCAAAGCACTCTACTGTAACAAAGAAGCATACAGAAGAGAATCGGAGTGCAAAGGTGTGTGGAGAGAAAATATTAGAACAAACACACACATACTTTTTCTGCATTATGTAGTGAGGACCATGTGTTGACTACCATTGATTTTCAGTCATTTCCAACCCTTTCTATGCCCTAACCCTAAAACTAACCCTAAACCACACCATTACCAATTCCTACCTCACTTTAACTCGAACCCAATTGACATCTTAGCCATAAACCTAACCATTAGCAAAATAGCTTGTGAGGACGGGCAAAATGTCCTCACTTTACAACAACTGGTCCTAAATGTGAGGGTTAAAATGGAAAAATGCTCCTCACTGAGGGCTAGATAGGTACACACACACACAAACACACAGAGAAAATTTTCAACCAATAACAGTAGAGAGAAGAGAAAATTAGAAGCTGTGACAAACGGGGGGTACATACCTTCTCCCAGTGCACAATCTCCCAAGCTCCATTCCTTAAGACTGGTGAGTCAGGAGAGGGATGGCGAGGAAGTCAGAGCCAAAGACAAAAGAGAATGTCAAAACAGGAAAAATAAAGAAAGTATTGTTTCTAGAAAACAATTCAGAAAATGATGTTCTGCAAGCAGAGAGAATAGCTCGTATTTTCTGGTGAAGCATGCGCTCTGTTACAGGAGGAGTGGTTTCGGTACCTTGACATTCCTTTTTGTTGACCACGTTGTCAGCTTTGTGGCGTTTCTGTAAAAAACACATTAATTATGAACAATTTTGACATTGTGACTGAAATAATTTCAACTAACAGAGGTCAAGTCTCCCCGGAGGAGAGATAAACAAAATTCCAAGTATGTTGTTTTTCTTAGTTTATTAATTAATGCGCTAAAAAATTTACTTTTAATACCGACAGAGAGACAGAGGGGTGCAGAGATTAGCGCTATGAAGCGGAAATTGGATAAAACCTTGACAGCAGCCGCATCGTTCAGCATATTATCCACTACAAGCAGGACTTCTAAATCTACAGCTTAACTTTTCTACCACCCCTGTAGGGTCAGCTGACAGATGGAGAAACGTCCAGGAGGGTTAAATCTAAACAGCGTCCCACTGTGGATCCCACAGAGCATCAGCATCTCTACTGTCATGTTTGCTTTAACGTTAAATTTTGGATCCTGCACAGATTCACTACTCATTTGATTGATTAATTCACTTATTTATTATTTATCATTTCTGCTTGATTACATATACTATGGAAACAGTTTCTTTTTATTGTCTTGATTCCATTAAATAGACAAACCACATTTTACCGTAGATTTAACCAATCCATTTCAAAGCTCCTCAACTATAGAAATAACTATCATACTGAAGGATTAGATCCACTCTCCTATTGTCCAGTTATGACTATGCGCCTTTATCTGGTTTAAAATGGATTACAATTAATAGAGTAACACAAAGTAGACTCTAAATTTAAGGCCTTTTTTTTTTAACAAAGAACAGTTTTAAGAATTTTAACAGTTTTTTACTGTATGTCTCTAGCAGCTTTCCTCAGACTGAGGAAGAATTAATCGGATTAATTGTGATCAATCAATTATTGAAATATTTGTCAACTGATTTAGTAATCAATTAATCGTTAACTGGAGCATAGAGACTGTAAAACATGGCTTTAGCTGACGGCAACCCAACTAGAGCAGTATATATATATATATTAGGGGTGGAACGGTTCACAAAATCCATGGTTCGGTTCGGTTCAACGGTTTCGTGGTCACGGTTTTCGGTTCGGTATATGTTTATTGTTACACCGAAAAATAAAAAAATCAATAAAAATTATAAAAAATTCATGAAAAAATTAAAATTAATTAAATTAATGAAAAAAAATCCCAAAAAAATAATGAATTGTGATTATTTATAATGATAATTTCCGCAAGTTTTGCTGCTTTGAATTTATTCATCTCGCGCATGCCCTCTACAATCTCCAAGGAACTCAGAGCGGAGCGGACGGGAGCCACAGTGGAGGCTGCAGGCTTTGCTTTGTGCAGGCGGTCTGGAGCGCAGCGGGGCGGAGCGCTGACGGAGTATGTGGGATTTCAGGGTTAGCATGACATGTTGGTCATGTTGCTGTTAGCATAAACAAATTGTGTTGCACAATGCTCGCACACTGTTGCACTTGTGTCCACAACTTTCTTTCCGCCGTCATCGTAGGTCACTCTAAATGCAAAGTGGTCCCATACAGCAGACCTATAAAGTGCTGCTGGCACGTCTTCCAACTCCTGTTCTTTCCCACTCGCCATTCCCACACAATTCTCCACAACAACTGATTTTTTTTCCCTGCTACACCCGGCTACGCTGCTTCGCTTCTTCTTCTTGTTTACTACTGGTGGTTGGCTTTGGTCGCAGTACCGCCACCTTCTGCTCTGGAGTGTAAACGCTTCGCCTATGAGAAAAAGGAGCAGCGCATGAACCGAACGCAACACACGCAAATCGAACTGAGACAGTCGAACCGAACGGTTCGGCCGGTTTTCATAAACCGTTCCATCCCTAATATATACATATATAAAACCTTTGCATTTAAGATTAAAAAATAAAAAATGTCTGTCAATATGTACTATCCAGAACTCCACAAGTGGAAATGTTTAAGTTTTACCTGGTTTAATTCCATAAAAGTTCTTCTTTAAGGAACCTTTTGCGATCGATTATTAATTGATTAATCGAAAAAATTATCGACAGAGAAATCGATTTGCAAAATAGGTTAGTTGCAGCCCTACTTTCAGCACATATTCCTGAATCAAACAAGGAAATAATTTTGATCTAGGGACTTTGACTAGGATATTCTAAAACATGGACATGCTTTAAGGTGAACCAATCTGATTAAAGTTACGGCTGTTTGTTTGATGTCATCCTGCTGATGGGATGTATTTCAGTTGTCTTCTCAGTAAATTCTCCTCACCTGAGCTGTATGAATCTGAAGCTCCTCCAGAGCCTTATTACTGCTTATCAGGTTTAGGCTAACAAATATGCTTTGGAACGTTTTTAACTATTGATGTTCCCTTTTTTAATTTAAGACTGAACCTGTTTTTTTTTTTTTTTATTTATTAATCCCATGCATTTTTTTTTTTGTTCCCATATAATTACATAAAATCCAGCTAAAGCTTGTTTTTATTTCCTGAAATGTGTAGAAGCTGATGAACCCTTTCGTACGACCAGAGCGAATCCTCCCTCCCACTCGTGTCCTGCTTGTTTCCTCAGTCATGCAATCAGCTGTGAATCCTGCAGCTGATTCCAAGGGGCAGCCTGTCAACCAGCATCACGCTGAGTAATAACGTGTTGCTGCATCCATCTCATTAAGATGATTACTGTGCATTAAAACGGAGCTTGTGAAAGCAACGTGTGCTCTAGTTGATTAACAAGGAGAGGACGTCCCCACCCTCATCTCTGCAGACTACCTGTTTACAAGCAAAGAAGGTCTGTATCGACGTTATTCAATTTAATCTGTTTTAACTGTAGTCCCTCAAGCCTGTCACTCAGAACATCTATTAAACTGCTGCTATAAGCCAAGCGTATGCTAATAATGGTCCGTGGCGTTTAAGTGTTAGATGCTACACTTACTTGATAGCATCATAATATTTTTGGGAATCCCGTAATTTGACATAAAAGTGGGAAAGGCAACATGCAGCTCAGGAAGTAAGGAGAAATTAAAGGAGGGAGAGTTGGAAGGAAAGAGGGAGCAAAACAAAAAGGTATAAATGACAAGGAAGGAGGGAATAAAATACAGAAGGAAAGTAACGAGGGATGAAAACGAGGAAGAAAACATAGTAAATCTGAGGGAATTATAGAAGGAGGGAATGAAGGGATTGCAGGAGTAGTGAAGAGAGGAAAGGAGGATGAAGAGAAACACTAGGAAGGAGGGCAGGAAGGACAAAGGACAATATATTGAGGAAGGAAGGAGATGAGGACACAAAGAAGGAATGACATAATCCTATTTTCTGTTTCTGTACCCATCTAAACTGAAATCAATGTCTACCCAGGAAAGAAATTCCCATCTATCGTCGTCTTTTCCTCTGAGACAATGTGCCTCCCTTCCCAGACTCAGACTAAAAGGAGAATAAATCCTACATCCTTGCAACAGGAAACTCCTCTTAACGAACGACTCTGTGGTGCACAGCTTCAGTCTTTTTTCTGGCTGCATTCAGCTCAGAAAAAGTTTGCTTGTCCCAAAGCCTCTTGGGAAACCATCATGCTCTGTACTGCAGCTGCCAGCTTGTTTTCATTCATCCACACTATTAGGTTTGGCGGCAAGGACAGAATATTTCCTTTTCAACTTGTTAGGAGTGCAGAGACGTGTTCCACCTGCCCCTATATTCACTGCACCGCTCTCTGCAGGCACAGAGACAATGAGATGCACTTTATTTAAATGTGTCTAAGCTCCCAGTGCAGTTAAAGGTGAGCGAGGAGTGGGGGTTATGCACGAGCACTACATCATCAGGCTGCTAGAGTAAAAGAGCAAAGTAGCCACTGCCATATCTTTGCTTCCTTCCTTAATTTTCATTTTCAGGTCAGGCGCACGAAAAAGCAAGTGAAACTGTAAAAATCCATGAGAGTACAACGACACGTCATCATAATCCCATTTGGAGACATTTTAAGCTGAACGATGCTCTGAACAAACAGGCTGAGGCTGCAACAGAAGAGACGGCCAGCGACCAAAGCGAGGCGTACAGTGCTGCATGGTGTGTGCATGATTCATGAAGATGGGGGGGGTCGATGATGCCCTGTCAGGTCAACTTGTGAGGGACGGCACAGTACAGAGAACAGACGTGTGTGCAGGTGACCTTCAGCCATAAAGATGGAGTCATCATCCACTATGTTCCCATGCTTTCCAAAACAGGCCGGGAGGAGAAAAAAAAATGCTGCGCTGTTGCCTTCAGCACACGATAGACGCTACAGTGTAGTATAGAGTAACTGCCCAGTGGGACCTGCACGAGGGATCGCATTGCAGTGTCACTGCAATACAGTAGAATGCTACATTCTCTCCCTTTGCTCAGATGCGGTTGCATGGATTACACACCAACAGCACAATGCTCATACTTTTAATTTGACTTTAACAGTATTAACCCACCCCCACTCCATCCACAGAACAACACACTAAACAGCCAACCGTTATCTGCTGCTTACACACACCGATGGGTAGAAGAAAAAGATCAGAAACCGTTTCTTTTCCCAGCTACCTCATAGTTTGGTTTTGTTTTTTTAAAGACTCATTTTATAATTGTACTAATTCCAATCCAAAGCATCTGTGAGCATCTGTTCCAGCAGTTCTGAATCCTCAGGGCAGTGGCTTTGTTTTGTTTTTTTACACGCCATCTTTGAGCAGAAGCACTGACTATCAAGGTTGATTGACTAAATGGCTTTTGGATCCAGCTGGGGTCCTAGAGATAAAATTTACACGTCTGCATGTGTTTGTTCTATAGTAAACCCTCCCTTCTTTCCTTTTAGATTTCATCTATTATTTATTAAAGTTTTAAAACAAATTAATTGAATTTAAAACTTCCTGAGTACATAAAACGTGACTAAAATAAATGATAATGAAGTATTTCTGTTGAGGTTCTTCTTACCAGATCTTCAATTATTTCTTTGACAGCAGCGACAACCAGAATGAAGAGCAGCGGCACCAGTGTGGTCCACCGACCAGTAGGGGATACATCTGGAATTTGCTAAATAAAACACAACATCAAAGCATTAGGTTAGCTGAATTTTATCACCATTAAAACAATTTTATTTTGACCTGGTAAAGCTGATGTAGTATACAACAGGCAAAAAGAAGGCAAGTAATAACCCATTTGGTCACCTACTGTACAAGCATTTCCCCTCATAAAGCCTTGTTTGACCACTACAGGTCTTTCATCTCATAAAAACAAAGTGCTTAAAGTTTTTAAAGTGCTATAACATAAAAATAAATAAATGCTATTTGTTTCTTTGTAGGTCTAAATGTTAGAAACTAGTGCATTGATCAATAAAAACAATTGTTTCTGTACCCAAGCATACATCTTCAACATTAACATAGGATTTATTAAAACCCAAATATTCATTCTACTACATGTAGATGGTTCATATATATATATAAATTAATGTAATAATTAATGCTGCTAGGTTTGATGCATTCAAGCATTAAGGAGAAGCACAGGTGACTTTGGAGCCAATTAAAGGAGAACTAATGGATTCTCATCACTAGCTGATTGAATATGTATGTTGGGTCATTTTATTTTAAACTAATTTCCATAAGATATTAGAAAAAATATACATTCGTCCATTAGGCAACTACCGTCAAACAATTTAGGTAGTAATTTTTTGTTGTTGTTTTTAGTAATCTTTTAAAGCAGGGAATCCCAAATATTTGTTACCCTGAAAATAATAATGCTACAGACTGATGACCCCCTAAAAATACATGTAATTACCTCTGTTAGGAATCCAGTGTGTGTGGGCTGTGTTTGTTTTTTTGTGTTCTCTCCCTCCACCACCAGGTGGCGCCCTGTTCTCGTTGGGCCTCCCACACACCTGCAGCTGGTTGTGCTCATTACTGCGGACTCTTAAGCGGTGGACTGCCACTACCTCATTGCCAGAGTGTTTGCCAGTTTTGGGTACTCTAGCCAAGCTGAGTTTGGCTAAGTCAAACTGAGTCTTTGTCTCTCTGAGTTCTAACCTTGTCTTTGCCTTTTCGGCAGGAAGTCATCCCGGAACTGGATTTTTGGCCTTCTTCTCCTGGAAGGATTGTTTTGAGCTTCAAACTGAGCAGTGGATTCATCTCCACACGACCCGTTCAAGTTCTCATGGAAATCTAAGTGGCAGTCTGCTCCATAGCTCCTCAAGGAACCAACCAAACCAAAAACCTGTCCGCCCTCCAACGAGCCCCCCAATCTCTGGATAAACCCACACCGACTGGATTCTGGGAAAAGAAACCTTTTTCTGCTAACGTGAGTCCCGTTCATCTCAGATTTTTGCAAGACGTTGTTCAAAGTTCCCTTGGACCCTGAACTAACCTCTGAACTTCCCTTCTCCTTCCAGTTCCGTTCACCAGCTTTCTGATTTACCCTGGATCAACTTTATTGATTATTCCAATAAACCTGTTAAACTTTTACTCTGGTTCTCTGAGTGGTTTCCTGCATGTGGGTCAGATCTCTTAAAAACATCATGACAACCTCACTCTATTTCTAAAGAGAAAGTGAAGTTATTTATATTTATAAATAAATGCGGAGTGCATGAATCCTTCATCTTGGGTGATTCCCTTCAGTATCTTAGCTGTTCTTAGAACTGCACATCCCTGGACTGACTCCATCTCTGGACCCCACAGTGTGGGGATTACTGTTCCCCGGTGCTCCAATGACCATGGGTACACTGAAAAAAATAATGCAACTGTTTTTGGCCTTTACTTAATCATATTTAGTTACTTTAACACAATTGCTTCATGTTAGCAAGGTAGGACATAAAACAATAGTGTTAAAGTAAGAAAACATGAATAAATAAATTTCAGTGTACAGTTGCCTTCACCTTCCAGGCTCTGTCTATTTTCTTCACCAAGCCATTAGTATTTCTCCACTTTCTCATGTCCTTTTTTCCTAATGTTTCCATCATTTGGGGTGCCCGCATCGACTATCCTCGACTGCTTATCACTGATCACACTGTCCAGTTGGTAAATAAATGGCCACAACCATTTATCTGTTTGTATCTGTTCTTCAGCACCCAGGTCATTTGTGCTTCTAGAAGTTCTTGGTGAGAAATCAGTTTCTTCAGTAGGTGTGCATCATGTCTGGGCCTGGTGCTGTTGAATTCTTCATACCTGAGAGCCTTTGTTGGAGATCTGCCATCGTGATGTTCACTTCACCTTGTTCAGGGAGGTTAGCATTGTCAGCTCTTAGGTATTTAAGCCAATGTGCATCATTTTTATGTGATGCTTCCTTCTCCCATATACCTTTCAAGTATTGCTCAGTTTGCAGCCTTGGTGGGTTGGCTTGTGTGAAGGAGACACAAATAACTGGCTCTGCCTAAAGCCACTTTTAGTATCAAAACAACTATGAAATCTGATATAGCACAGCTAGCAATATATGCAAAGCTGGTTGGATGTCCCTGTTATTATGATCAGTTCACGTCAGAATCTGAAAGTGTCATTAATAATACTTCCCTTTATTTCTCACATGCTACAATGCTTCAGCATAAATCTCCACCTCACTCACCAACACATCTACTTCAGCTTTTGTTAAACTACACTTTTTTTTTTTGCTCTCTTTGCTATGGTTGCCATTGGTAACCATGAAATAAGAGTTTTGCAGAATATGGCTTGAACCAGTTATGGCTGCAGTGGGAGGCTTGGATTTAAACTTTGAATTACCGCTGTCGTCTATCAAAGGAAATGACTTGGCTTTGTGAGTGCGCATGGTTTTAAAAAAATTATGATTTTTTTCAGAGTTTGGCACTCATACAGTTTAAGTATGGATATTATGCAATGTTTTATGGGTGAGACTTTATTTTCTTTTTTGAGTAGAAAGTGTGTGAAGCTAAGAAAATTTAGATTACTCGATTAAAATAATGTGAAATGGTTTATGCTTTAAAAATTTAAGAAAATGTCTTAAATTCTCTGCAATTAAATAGGGACTGATGTTACAGGATATTAAACTAAATTAGACTGTCATAGAAAAATGTATTTAAATAAAAATTACTTTAATGGATCCATAATTGTCTCCAAGTTCGTAATTCTGCGTATCCAAGATATAACTTCATGAAAACAAACAAAAAGAACCTATAAGAGCTTTTTTTTTTATCCATTTGTTATTTATAAATATTCCAAAAATGCATTTGAATTTAAATGTAAATAACAGCAGAACCAAAGTAATAAGTCATTCTTTTACAACAATAAAATTGATTTCATGTCTCTTTCTTCTGCATGGCTGTTTAATTCAAGGTCGACATTTCGACACATTCGGAAATGTAGATGTAGGCTGGCTGCGTTTCAAAAGGACCACTGGATGGAGTTATTTACTAACCACACACCTACATCCAATCAGGACAGTCCATCAGTTCACATAAAAAGACAAACAGAGAATTTGGAATAATTTCTTATTCATTTTCTGTTGTAGTTTGTTAATTTTTGCCTGAAATTCTCTTTCCAGTTGTAGTAATAACAATAATCCACCTGTGCATCTTTCATGCAACTTAGTTACAAGATTCTGTGTTTCATTATCAGGATATATCAAATCATAAATAATGTTTCTGAGTGTGTGAAGTTGTGTGCCCATATCAAATTAAACAAATCACCTTCCAGGAAACGGTGTCTTTAAAAAAAAAAAGAAAAAAAAAAAAGGAAATGGCCCAATAGCAAAAAGTCTACAGATATAGTTGTGTGATTGTTTTAGTTTAACAATAAAAAAGAAATCTACTAAAGTTTACCTGGAGGAGTGCAATGAAGAGAAAAAAGGCATTTGCTGCCCTCCTGAACTGGGAGTAGAGGAACCGGGGGAGAAAGGTGAGAAAGTTATATTTGGCCGTGCTGAGGAGCCGAGTCAGGCCGGATGCAGCGAGACGAGGATGGCGAGGGAGATGAGACAAGAAAGGAGAGAAAACAAAATACGTTAGCTTGCAAAAGTAGAATACAGCAACATTATTGAAACACTCTTCATTTCAGAGGGGGCTTTTTGTTTCTCCATCATTTGGAGAACAATCCTCGCTCATCTATCGGTGTCAGCCACTGATAAACTGCATACATCAATGCCTTCATGATAAAGCATTATTAAAAGCTAGGAGGAGGAGGAATGAGCGACTGCGCTGCGGTGGGGTCGGTCCTGATGGCGGGATATTGAAACTAGAACTGCTTTCAGAGGTTTCACAGCCAGGCCTCCAGCATGATGATTTACAGCTGCGATAAAGGGGGCAGTAAGAGCAGCCACTTTAGGAGAAGATGTATATACTGCTGCAGGAGCAATCCTTTGCTAACTCCTGAAGTCAGAGAAACACAAACAGCAGCCCAGAACATACAGTTCAACAATGATACCACCATTCCAAACCCCACAGATATAAACAAATGTTAAAAAAAATAAAATAAAATAAGTAAAGCGTGATATGCTTGTTTTCAGCCACTTTCATTAACTACTTCATAGAACCAACTTTTACCGCAATTGCAGCTGCATTCTTTTCCAGTATGGATCAGCCATCTTTGCACATCTGATGGCAGAAACACTTGGATGTTTTTCTTTAAAAGAAACTAAAAATGACTAGCCAACGTTTATTCAAATTGGATGGAGAATGTAAAAAAAAAAAAAAAAAAAAAGTAATTTCCAGGTTTTTCCAGAGATTCTCAATTAGATTTAGGTCTGGGCTTCAACGAGGCCATTCTAACACATGAATATTTATAATTCTGTTCATTTAAAATGGACAACAGTGAGCATCCTCTTAGAAAGACTAGCAAACAACAGTGTCTTCAGTTCAATGCTTCTCCAGATCTGGAGTAAGACACCTATCAGCATCTCAGTAACACATTGAAAAAACAAAAACTTAAAAAAAAATTAGTTTATTTAATTCCCTTTGGGTTCAATAAAGTATATTTGAACAGAACTATTCTCCTGCTGGAGAGGAAATCTTAATCCCAATCTAAAGTCCTTTGCTGTCTGACACCAGTCTCTCTTTTAGTGATAAACAGAAGAATCCCACAGCATGATACTTCCACTATTATGTTGTTTCTTTTAGACTTGAATCCAAGAATTTCCACTGAGCAGTGATGCACTGCTTTGTGTTTGAATTTATCTCTACAAGTTCTGATTAAATATGAAAAGGTTTAAAGGATTTTGAATATTCCTTGAGTGTTAAACTTCTGTAATGGTTTAACTTTGAATAAAGTCACAATGTAACCTCAATATATCTTAAAATCTAGAGGCCTATATAAATTCCAAGTATATTCTTCATAACAAACCTACCGAAAAATATGTTAATGTTAACTTTATATATAGATTTATTATTTGAAAGTGAAAAGAAACAAACACAAGGCAAATAAATATCTCTATAGTCTCTATTTTTCAATCCGAAAGTTTATTGAACATTTTGAGGGACCAATATGCAAATGACCCTGAACAAGAACATAACATGTTGTTACCCGAATATAACTGTTTATTTGCAGCAGTCACATGAGTCATGATCATAAGAGGAAGCTCAGCATTAATAATGTGACCAAAACTAATAACAAACAGGCTGAGTGAGATATTCGGCTATGTGGAAGTTTCTCTGCATGATTATATGTGTGATAGATTACTAAATGATTAAATCAGTTTTATCAAATCTTCAACTAGAACTCATTTATTCATATTTTCCCAGCCAGCGCATTTACAGCAATCTGGTTAAAGTGGAAAATAAAAGCATCTAAATACCTGATCATCACGTTGGTGGCTGGAAAGCTTAGATAATCGCTGCATTAAAAGACAATGTTTTTATTCAGCATATCTTTAGTATTTTTAAACATCTTCTATGACCTGCCAATCTCATTTACACTTCTACCTCCACTCCTCAAACCTGATGGAGACAGATTCTAATCCCTCTTTCCTAAACACCCAGCGTTATGCAAAGGAAGGAAACATTTCTGTTTGGAATCTAACTATCTGGACATATAGCTGCAGTGAGTGATAAAACAACAGATTTCCCAGAATATAACAGGCAACTCGTACACTGCTTCACTGTCCTGCTAACAAAACACAAAGCTGAACAGAGTCATAACTGTTATGATTAGCAGTGACAGCACACTAAGTAATGTTAAGCTGTTAGAGGTTAAATAACTTTTGACAGATGCCTAACGGAAACCATGGCAACCTCCTTCATGTGAAATTATTCATATAGTTCCATAATGTTGCATTATTTTAGAGCGAACACTTTACATGAAAGTGTGAGTCTGGGATTATAACCACGCTGAGGGAGCTCATAACAGGAGCAGGTCTTGCACAGGCTGGAGGGCTCAGGTGGAATAGTTTAATGATCTAAACTGGGGACATTTGGGGGCCTTTTGGCATAACCTGTTTAGTGAGTAATCCTAATGCATTAATGCACTGGTTTAAATTCTACAAGCGTGTCAGGAATAACGGCATAAGGGGTTTTGGTTAGGTAACCGGCATCATTTACTTCCATTCAACTAGTTTAACTGGGATGTTAAGAAAGAGTTGCATCTTGGGAAGTCAGTCTTCTTAGTTCTTCAGAATGAAGGTTACATAATTAAATTACTTCATTTTGAGCCCAAATTATTCTTTCATACACCATAATGGAATTGTTTCACTAAATCGTGAAAAATCTGCACCTCCGTCTTACAAATCTGTTTGCAAACTTGAAACATTTTTAGCTAACATCTGATTTATAATGTTATTTAATGGTTGTTGTGTTTTTAACCATACACAGAAAAATGGGCGATAATAATAGAAAATAGGCATCGCTACTTGGAGGTGGGGGGGGGGCATGATAAAAACTTTGATTTATCATCCAAATGATCAAATAGAATTAATGACGATTTAAAATAAATGGGTGAATTGATAAAATCTCAAATTTTTACTTTTTCTTTCCTTTTTACCATTGGGTAACTGCCAAATTCAAAGAATATGATAACTGTGGTTACTACTGGATGTTTACTGATATAAATCACATGTCTTTGTGTAACTGGTGTCCTAAAGAATCTAATTTTAAAACTTAATTTTTTTTAAGAGTAGTACTTGTGATTGTGGAGCAATGAACGCTGTGGCAGGTCGTCATAGCCACACACTTACCTACATGTAAAGAAGTAATGAAGAGGGGTCGTCATTTTATTGTTATAATCCTACCACAAAATATGATTATTTTAAGTCCACAACCTGAACCCTAAAGATCAGATTACCAAACTAAAACATCTTTATCATCAGTTTCCCGCTGTACTACGCTCTGAGCAAAGGTCAGCAAATAGTCATGACTCATCAGGTATTGTGTAGCATACACATATAGTGTAGCTCCATCCTAACTACTTTTAATTTTCAGGGGATGATGGAGAGAATTAGCGCATCATATCAGAGACATTGTTGTCCAGTTTCGATGCAACATTCCTGATAACAATAATAATAATAATCTTGTTATTGCAATTGTACATTCCAACCAAATGTATGATCTGCATTTAACCATTACCCTTGGGGAGGAGTGAGCAACCCAGATTGACAGAAAAGGAAAAGGAGCTAATGGTTTTCCTCTGAATGCTCTAAACTTTAATATCAATTTGTTTTTTTGCACCATTTTTTTTCTCACACGTTTACATTTGATCACTGCTGCACTTTAAGAACCTTAAATACCATGAGAGCTGTACAAAATGACAATAAAAGTTGTCTAAGTCCTCAGGCAGTCAAAGTTATGTTGTCAGGTTTAAAGCTTGCTGCTTTAACCTAGAGCAGTGTTTTTCAACCCTGGTCCTCAAGGCACGCTGCCCTGCATGTTTTAGATCAGGCATCCCCAAACTCGGTCCTCGAGGGCCAGTGTCCTGCAGGTTTTAGAGGTTTCCCTGCTTTAGCACAGCTGATTATGATGATTGCAGTAGAGCAAAAGCCTGTTAATCAACTATCAATTAAAATCAGCTGTGCTGGAGCAGAGAAACATCTAAAACCTGCAGGACAGCGGCCCTCGAGGACCGAGTTTGGGGATGCCTGTTTTAGATGTTTCCCAGCTTTCACACACCTGTTATCAATTGATAGCAGTTTACCGGGCTTTGCTGAACTGCAATCATCTGAATCAGGTGTGCTGAAGCTCAGAAACATCCAAAACATGCAGAGCAGTGTGCCTAGAGGACCAGGATTGAAAATCACTGACCTAGAGAATCCAGGGATACTCAAAGTCTATCCTGGAGGGCCACTGTCCTGCAGGTTTTAGAGATTTCCCTGCTTCAGCACAGCTGTTTCCATTTTAAGTTGATTAACAGGCTTTAGCTGAAGTGTAATCATGAGAATAAGATGTACTGAAACAGAAAAACCTCTAAAACCTGCAGGATGGTGGCCCTTAAGGACCTATTTTGGGCATGCCTGCTCTAGACCTTCAATAATCTAACAGCTTCCTGATGATATAAATTCTATATTAAATATTTTAGAACTACTGTAGGGATAAAAAAATTAATCACTACATTACAGGTTATATATAAATTGTGCATAAAATGACCTCGATAGGTGATATGATCTCTGCCCAGCAGCACAAACATTAAACTTTGTGACAGGCTTAACAGTGAACTGCCCTAAATGAAGGCATGGGTCCGCCTCTCTTTGATCTGACAGTATAGCCTTTACTATTGGAGATTTTTCTTAAATTCAAACTGAGAAACTCTGAAATATTGAAACACAACTAGAATATCAGCTGCTAACTGATAATAAGTGCTTCTCGTGTTCATATCAACTGTGCTGTGTGTTTTACACAACCAACTAATAATAGATGGCAAACAACGGGATGTTTTGCTAAGCTACTCCCATCTTTTCCAGAGGACAAACTGTCAACATCACAAAGATCAACTATCCTTGCATTAATCTGTCAGCAGGTGAGTAAACAGTCCATAAATACACAAGCTACACTTCCCTTCACGCTGGATTTACAGCAGGTGAGACCAAGGAAGGGTTAAGTTAGTTAAGTTGGATTCATCCACCCTCTGTGTGCATCACTGCAGTAACAGATCTGGATGGTGGGAGTTAGATCTGTTATAAGTTGACCTTTATAATTTGTTTCTCCTGAGCAGTAAATAAGCAGATTATAGGGGATAAATAACGGAGCTAATATTCAAGACTAATACTGAGATATTAAAGCCCAGAATGGCTGATCACAGTGTTTCATAATGCCGTCCTGATCAGTGTTTTCTAATCCTGATCCTTGAGTAACGGTTCCAGCCTAGGATGGAACAAAAAGACACTGTTTCACACATCAACATCCACTAAAAAGTACAATGGTTTTACTGCATAAGAGAGCTGCAAATAAAATAAAAATCTGCATAATTTGTATAGCAGATAAGAGTGCTTTAATCAGATGTTTAAAAAGAAAAACTACTTTGACCTTCAGTGCAATCGCCCTGAACTCCCCTGAGAAGAGCAACAGGATAGAAAGGTCAGGCTGAAACATCTGCTCTTTTCCATTTCTAGTGCATCAAAGCAGGATGAGCAGCTCTTACTGTATCAGTAAAATGGCCACGATTATGAATTATTTTATTATTAAAAGCCCCACCATAAGGACACATTTCAGATGGATCCACATGGTCACAGATGCAGCAAACATTTAAACTCTGATCTCAGATTAGTCATCCAGCATTTATAACCTTTTGATGTCAAAAATGATAATGATTCAAATTTCCACCTTTCTCAGTCCTTTAAAGCTGGTTTCTAAAATGAGAAGTTCATCCTAAGTTTATTTCACAAAGTCTGCAGTAGTGAGTTTTTACATTTAGGACAGACAAATAAAGTCAGGGTTCCTACAGCATAAGGCAAGTTAAATTCAAGACTTTTCAAGACTTTTTAATGCCACTTGAAATAAAAATTTAAGACCAAATTCACAAGAAACACAAGAAAAACCCGCTTGCGACAACTTAACCCAAAGGTTTATTTTAACATAAACCACTGCACTAATGTTTCAAATTTTGAAAAGCTTCCCATATAGGAAGAAAGCTAAAAACACAAAAATGACAGATATATTTTAACAATTATTTAACTGAATTCACAAACTTTGTTTTAGCAGGGAACAAAACAAATCAGTTTTAAAGCCACAACATAACCAGTGCTAAGTCTTTTTTGCAGCTATTTTTCTTTGTATCGTTTTCTTAGTATGTTTGATTTGGTGATAAGTGGAGGCGTTGCAGAGACAAGGGTGGAACAAAACCGAGAAATATCGGCTGTTTCTCGGTAACTCGATTTTGACGCTTTGTGTTTCGTGCTTCGCATGTGTGACTCTACTGCCTTAATTCCCATCATCCCGAGCTTGAATGACTTCTTGCACAAAATACACTGTGCCTCATTTGTGTCCCCTGGTACTGGTTTTAGCCATAGAGAAAACTCTTGGCTGGAGTCAATTTTCGTTACATTTACACTTGCTCACATTTTCCAGACAAAAAGTTAACGCTAACGTTAAAGGTGGCAGCTAGAAAGAACGTTAAAAAACAACGCTTTTATTGGTTCAGCTATCGGGACGAAACCAATAATGGCGAGCCGTTATTTTTTATTTTTTTTATGAAAAAAAAAAATAAAAAATTGTCAATTTTAACGTTTTATTTAGATTACAAAAATAAATCGTAATAAAAATAATCCTATTTATGATGTTTTAAAAATTAAGACCTACGAAAGACTGATTTAAGATATTTTAATACCAATTAAGGCCTTAGTTTTATTTTGAAGAATTCAATGCCTTTTAAGATGTTTTAAGGACCCGCGGGAACTCTGAAATGAAGTAACAAATGAGAAGATGAAACAATTAAATGATCTAAAGCATGAATGGTCAGAAAGAAATGTCTGCTAATACTAATACTTTCATGCATTTTTAATATTTCATCCTTTTTCAGATTTCTACGGCACAGAAAAGTCTATTGATTCTTATAGAAAAGTTTTTTAAAAGAGGCATATTTTAAAACTCACAACGTGCAGAAAAAAACTTTAAGAAGCAAACTTAACCAGTATTGTAAACATGATATAGTGATCTGTTTATCTAAATATTACCTCAAACCATCAATAGATGGACCAACAAATATGTAAGATACACTCAGACTCATCATCTTGGAAATCTTCTTTAGAAACCCCTCTTACCTGACACGGTTGCTGCAAAACTTGGTGAACTGCGGCTGATTAAGGTATATGAGTCGTGCATCTTCTTGGTCAGCCAATGACGTCTTCTCTGACGTGTCCTCTGTCTTTTCATATCCTGCATCAGGCAAGAAATGAGTTTTAACTTGGAGAACACAAACAGAAAACACCTCAAGAACCAACAAAGGTAAGGTGAGATGAAAAGGTATGTTGAATTGTTTGAGCTGTCATGTTGTGAAGTCCGTGATGCCTCAACACAGACAGATCTTTTATAGTAAATGACAGAATAATAATGTCATTCTTGGCTTTTGAATATTTCTTATTAGAAAACTATTTTTGTACTGTCACTGCATCTGTCATGAAGTAGAGAGTAGGGTTGAAACAATCAGATTAATCATGATTAATCGATTATTGAAATAATCGGCAACTAATTTAGTATTCGATTAATCGTTAACTGGAGTATAGAGACCCTAAAACGTGCCTTTACGTTTTAGTTAGAGCAGTAGTTATACCAAGATTGTAAACAAATATAGAAACATTTTGCACTTAAAGCCCCTGTCACACCTTGAAGATTTAGACAGCGTATGCCTGACGTCCTATAATCTTCTAAAAGGCTGGCATATGCTGATCTTTTTTTAATGTATTTTTTCAAGTTTTGGCGTATACATATAATATTAATAATAATATAACAAGTTCAAAGCTTATGTCCAATGACAGCATAACTTATGCATAACACATGGCAGCATAATGCCCGTGAAATGATGCACAAGCCAGTGTCCTGGGGGAGGGGAAGCGATGCGCCTGAAGGTGCCCAGCCTGCATAAAAAGATTTCCTTGATCGTGGTATTAACCTAGCTGCTGTTTACCGCCCGCCAAAAAAGAAACAAAAAAAAAACAAAAAAAACAAAGAAATAAGGTTTGCAGTCGCGGCAGATTCAGCATCATGTCTGCTAGGATGTTTGTTGGTCGTTGGCTGTGAACGCAGGGAGGATCAATCACACTAACCTTCCCCCTCACCCTATGATGGGGATGCAGTCTGGAGGAGAACTGAAGGTTTCCTCCTTTGAACACCCTTTCATACCAAAACGCTGCCAATACGCCATTAAACAGTAGCTGTAAGTTAGAAACACGTTCATATGGAACATGTCAAATTCATTGACATGCTTTAGAGAAAAGTTCCTAATAGGTTACTTATAAGTGATGCACAAGTTACTCATAGGTTTTGGATTAGCTGAATGCCACGACTTATCAGTAACTTATCAGTAACATATACTTAATATATATCAACGCTTACATAACTTACCTGTGTATGAGCATACGCCGGGATACCTCTCAAGAAATTTAGCCGTATGCCGACATGTTCCAGCATGTTTCAACGTGCTCATAACTTATACAAAACGGACCCATAACTAATCCAACATTTACCACCGTTTTTGCCAGAGTTTTCATACGCCAGGCATACGCTGTAAATCGTCAAGGTGTGAGAGGGGCTTAAGATTTAAAAAAAATTGTCTGTCAATAAGCTCTATCCAGAATTCCTCAAGTGGAAAAGTTTGAGTTTTACCTGCTTTAAATTGGTAAAAAAAAAAATCTTCTTTGAGGAAACTTTTGCTATACGATTATGAGTCGATTAATCAAAATAATAATTGACAGATTAATCGATTTGCAAAATAATCGTTAGTTGCAGCCCTAGTAGAGAACTATTAAAAGTAGGTCACAATAAATAAAACATTAGTAATTCTATTTAGAGAACACTCACTCAACCTTTGGAGCAATAATCTGGAAGCAGTAAAATGTTTATTACGTTATCTTAAAGAGGTTGTTAGGAAATACTTTGGACTTTCTCTGCCAGTGAAGCACATTTCTTGATTTCTTTAACACAAAGACACTGCCCCTCCTCTAAAGCTTCCGTAGATTTACTAAAAAAGAAATTCAGCAGCATGGGATGGTTTTTTTTTCTGACGATGATAAAAAAATAAATAAATAGTCATGATGTGAAATTGAAGCAGCAACTCATCCCTTTTCTAAAAGAAGAGCTGCTGTGGGCCGTCTATAAGCAGCGTGTCTGTTCTGAATCTGGCTGAGGGCGTTCAGCTGCTGCAAAGCTATGAAGGACCATGTAGCTTTTGTAGTTTTAGATAAAGTTTATGGAGCAAGGAGGACGGCAAAGATATCAACCCCAATTCCAGCCAATTTTGCAATTAAACCAATAAACTGAGTAGATTAGCTTAACTTTGTGCTTGATTGCATTTAAATGTATAACATGAATCTAATTGTAACAATATATTCAGTTATTTCTGCAGCTGCATCAATAACCGTTGCTTTTCTTTATTAATTTTGATGTAAATGCGATGAAACAACTGAAGTCAGTTTTTACTGGATCACAGTTTATTAATAACATCACTTCACACAAGCTCTGAATTTAAACTACATCTCTGGGAAGCCAATATATTCTCAGCCTGCCCATAAAAAACACCTATTAGAGTGTCAAATCAGGCCAAGATTAATTGTGTTTAGTCTCTTAGGACACGTCACTTTTTTAACAGCTGTAGGGAGGCCGTGCCACGAGCCTGAGCAGGTGTTTGCGCTCTACTTGTATATCAGCAATATATACAGTATATAGGGATAATACATATTTTTCATTAATACTTACTGCCTAAAAATTCCCTTTTGTTATCAACTTAACTATTCAGGGTATTGATGAGCTGTTTCATTTATTTCTGTTTGTTTTCTGCACCTACAGTACACGGTAGAGTGATAAGGGTGAAAAACTAGTCCTAATTAATAGATCCGACATAGCTTTGGGATATTTAAAAATTGTTGAAGTAGTCTAACAAAACACATGTGTAGTTTTTTTTTTTTAGCTTTAAAATTATTTGTGCCCTCTTACAGGAATTCTTTTTTCTCAACTTCATGTCCAAAAACCTGAACTATCCCTTTAAGGTATGAAACCAGCAGAGGAAGCAGCTGACTGGTCATTTGAGGTAAAGGTTCATTCAATCAAATTATTTGTTTCCATCAGTCTTTTGTGCATTTTGTCTTTTTCAAAAAGGTTAAAATAAATCACCTTAAGCCAGTATTATATATTTCTTGTGTGAGGTTGATTTGATTTTTCCATTTAAGCTCTACTCATGTGATACCTGAAAAATGTGAATAACAAAAACTTGATGGAAACACATCTAATGACTTCTCTCTGATGATCAAAGGGCTGTTTGTTGCTGGGACCTTCCTGTCCAGTAAGACTTCCTGCTGCAGAGATCCTATGAGAGAAGATTGTCTGCACCGGCCTGATAATTCGAAACTACTACAGTGAAATTATTTTTTAATCACTTATATTTGAACAACTGAAGTGGTTTTGTAGCTTGTGATTCAAAATGTTTTAGTTTACAGTTTTTTTCCTTTCTTACTTCCAAGTAAAGCAGCTTTCGAAACAAAAATCTTCAGCAGGAGGAGGCATTGTTTTATGGAAAACCCCTCCTTTGATGGATTAAATTCTCCCTCCATTTCAAAAAACAAAAAGCCCAGCTCTGCACCAAGCTTCCCACTGAGGTCAACAAAGTGGGACGCTCTGCTAGCAAGGACAACACTACTGAGGCACGGCAGGGGCAGCATGTGGGCTGCAGAGACGCTCACCCAGGTGGACTAAAGCAATTTTTTTATTGGCAAGGAGCCAATCAGAAATTGGCAAGAGTTGTACTTTGCGAGCAAGAGTAAAGGCAAGATGAGGAGGCTCAGTTCTGCAGGCTGCTATTCTTATACAGATGCATCATGGGAATGCTTACTTGGTGTAGAAAAGGTATAAAAATAAGCAAAATTAGAACTAGCAAAGCCGTATTTTTTAATGTTTTAATGATTTAGTAATTACTGACACATAATTACTGGGTAAGCACTTCCTCTTTTACCTGACCGTCTACAGAATGAATGCAACCATGTTAGACAAAAAAACTAGAAAAAAAACAGAAGGAAATATACAAAAACCTTTGACTGCCCTTCAAAAATAAAACAATTGAATGTATTAAACAATATATCAAAATGTCCATTTTAATGCGAAGACATGATAAAACAAACAAACACAAAAAACTAAGTAGAGCATAATATAGAAAGGTGAAGAGTTTTCAAAACATTTCACAACAAAAAGAACAAACCAAAAAAAAGGTTGGTGTGTGGTTTAAAAGTTCCTTTTATTCCAACACCCAAAAATAAAAAAATAACCCCCAAAGGTTCAACTATGAGTATACTCCACTGGAGGAGGAGTCGAACTGAAAAAACAGAAAGAAAGAAAAACAGATCAATTCTGGCAGAAATAATCCTATCTATTTATAGAGGGAGGTCTGATAAAAATAAATTATCACTTTTTTATTGTTATGTTTGGTCCGGGTCCAAGAACATACAGAGGAAAGCCCCACCCATACTGTCAGGTAAAGTTACCTGCATGTCATGAGAATGATGCTAATCAGATTCCAGAACACAGCAGTGTAAGTAGAGAGTTTAAGCTGCTCTATAGATACAAAAACAGGGACTATAGAGCTTCAAAAGGAAAGAATGTAGAGAGATGGCTTCAACAACAAAAAAGCAGCATGGTGAGAGTGTAACAGGAGACACTACATAATATGGCCCAGTTGTAACTCTAGCCTGCTCTGCAGCATTACCTTCATGCCATGTCAAGGAAACAAAGTGGAAGACTGACGCCACCTTTAAAAGTAAAGCTTTCCACTTTCGCTGCAGCATGCCTTCCTTCGCTATCTCATCTTACCTTCATCACTTTCCAACTCATGTTATGTAAAACCCTAGATCTCAAATTCCAGTCCTTGTTTTAAAGGCTTGCTTTGCTTAGCACACTGAGAAGTAGCTGACAAGTGTCCTACAGCTAAAAATAAACTGTTATTTGGTCACCAGGAAAACACCGAGTGGTTATCCCAACCTGGTTATGCAAGACATCAGATCAGCAAAGGTGGTTTATTGGATTAGCATGGTAGCAGAATGGTGTCAGCAGAGTGAAGGGTTGTGTCCTGTTGTTTGTTTAAACTGGACACAAAGAGAATCATTTTCATGGACAAAGGTGGCAGCTGGAAAGAATTCCTGCAAGGAAAGAGCTGAATATCAAATCCAACACCTAAATATTATGGTTTCTCTAAGAAATTAAAAAGGTTAGCATTGTGCCCAGTCACTCTAGTGTGGTAGATAGAAAAAACAACACTGTTCCTAATACTTTAGGGTGGGAAGAGACTGCCCCTGTGACTGCACCAAGAGCCCATTGTGGGGAAGCAGCCTGAGTATATGATGGATGCTGCACCTCTGCTCTGAATGAGGCGTCGCAGCAGGAGCAGGCTACCAGGGTAAGACAGGTGCTGCAATGCACCAGTTGCTGGTGGTGTTCTTATTTACCTTCGCTGCTACAAGGAGAAGGAGAAGTAGGGGCAGTGGAACTAATACGTAAACAGTTGCCCTACACAAAGCAAAATGTATTGTTATAGTTCTGTCAAAAACACTTGTTCTAGATGGTGTAGCAAAAAGAATAAGGTAGGAAGGAATTTAGTGCTTTACAATTTTAAATTAGGACAGTTTATGTGTGCTAGCTAAAACTTAGAAAAAACATTTTGTTTACAGTCCTATTTTTTATTTGCAGAGTTATCCGTTGCTTTTTTTCGCATCTACACGACTTCAGAGTGGAAGTGTTAAAAGAAACTGAAGTCAAAAAGCCACAGCAATGTAAGAAGCTGTTTCAAGACATACAAATATATTCTCTGAAATGCCCATATATGCCCGCTGCTTATTTAGACTGAGAAAGAGACAGAGAGAGCAAGACTAGCAATAGATAACAGGAAGTCTTAACTGTGTAAAAAAGGTTGTGTTGTTTTGCTTCAGATCTTTCGATTCTGTCTGTCATGGTACATGCTAGACTCAAAAAATGTTGGAAATCTCAAGTTTTACAATGAGGACCAAATTTCAGTATGGAATGCACACAGTTTTAGTAATGCTAGGCATGCTAATGGTGCTAATCAGTATCACTAGAGGTGGATAATCTTGGTCCAGAAAGTAAAAGGCCTGTACAGAGATCAGTTCCAACCATCTGCATGTCCAGCTCCACAATGCAGACTAATCATCTGAGGGGCTAATCACCTGGTTAGCTGAACATGATGAAGGAAACCAAGGCAGAGTTTTTACGTTCTGGCCCTGAATTATCCAACCCTATATAAGATTGTTTAAAAATCTGAGTGATTTTCTTAATCCAAACATTAGTAAAACCCTGTTTTAAAACGGCTGCTCTCTCAAGACTTCAGCATTATTTCACCTTGGTCCCTTAATATGATTATTTATTTACTAGTTACTACATGAACGCAATAATATATTTTCAATGCCTTCCTTATATCTTTTTGATTGCAGAGATCAAAACAATACAAAACAGAGATCATAAATTGGCCACGGAATACTAATCTTGCTATAAATGGACAAAAGCATTGCTAGATGCAGAGAATGAAGCCCTAAAAAAGATAAAAGAATGAGCTAGAAAGGAAAAATGAAGAGGACCAACAGGAGAACAGAGGACATTTAGTTTTACTTTCATTCATTCTGCACCATATGTTCCCATGTTTGATTTTCCCTAGAAAAAACAAAGTATTTTTGCCACAGATCCCTACCTTGTTCTTCAATATTTGTGGCTTCTTGTGGAGTCTTAGCCAACTTCCTCTGAGTGACATCAAACTCCATTGTGCGGTTTTCCATAGAAAGGGGTCAGTGGGACATTTGTGCTCAGAAAAGACACCGTTACATCCCACAACAGAAGCAGAACTCCATAGAAAATAAACACCTAACCCACCAGTACTGCTAAAAAAGAAAAGAAAAACAAAACAGAAGCTTGCACTGGTTGAAGAAATTCTTGTCCTACAGCTTCCTCTCTGAGCTGGAGGGCCTCTCTCATCGGTGACAAAAGCAGAACTACACCAGGTGACACTACAGTAGTGTGAGGTTCTGAAGGAGAACAAGCAGTACAGCAAAACACCGTGCAGGTGGAGTCAGTCTGCAGGAGGACGGACTAAAGGTTTAGATGGAAAGACATAAAGCTTGGCTGTTTATTACATGCAAACCCTTTCCAGAAAGTAGAAATGTAACTTGTTTTTTTTTTATTAATGTGTTAGCTTTTCTTTTATTTGCATAAACATACACATATCAATGACTTACCACCTTGCTAGCATGATGTCTAGCTTTTCCAGGCTGTTTTATGCCAGCTATGCCCCTTAACCTCCTCAGGTTTCTACGACAGCAACTATTCTTACGCATCTGATCCAATTTAAGGCTTTGTGTTGAACAGTTTAACTGGATTGGGGAGGAGAAACAGAGCAGAGGCCTTAAAGTGGCCTAATACTGTAAATACTGATCAAGTATTCAACATTAATCCTATAATTTCTAAGTGTGCAATTATTTTCAACCAAATAGCTGATGCTGAGATGAAATATTTGGGAGTTACGCTAAATTAAGATTCCCAGGATACTTTTAAAAGGCTTTTCTGTAATGCTTTCTTTTTTGTCCAGTGTGATTCCCCAGGCTCTACAACAGCTTTTATAAAGCATACTGAGCCACAGCCTCTAACATCTCAGGGAAAACTATGCTTTTTATCCTCGCAGGCTACATTATCTCCAGTGTGTGTCATTAAATCACTCACTCACAAAGAAAACAAAAAAAGGAAACTAGACTAACACTTCCCGTGGGTTTTATATTATGGTCCAGGGCTATATTAAGCCACTTAAACATCCACAAACGCTCTACAGGGCTAAATAAAGCTCAGCTGGAGCAGCGAGAAGTGGCAGACAGCTCCAATGGGAAAGCCTCTTGGGGAAGTATCAATGCCACAGAGAGTTGTAATATGTCTGGATACTGTCCAGATGTCAGGATTATTGCTTGTGTCAGCCAAGATGTAGATTGGTGGAACAATAGTCACAAGAGGGGACATATTTCGGACAGGGTGCCCGGTGAGAAAAACTGTCCACAAAGCTCGACTATGACAGGCTGGTCTTCCCCAGTCAGTCTAGCAAGGTTGGGCCACTATCAGAGATGCAACCAAGCAAAACACAATACTGTTTAAATAGCAAGCTGTAGGTAGTGACAAGCATGTTCTATTTGTTGTTTAAAAAGGGTTAACCACATCACAGTAGCTATAGAACTGCAAAAATAACAATTTATTCTTTCTATGTTACTTAAAGGGTCAGAGGACGATCTTTTATTTCTGGGTGGATCTTCTAAATAAGTGGTCCTCCTAATCGTCAATCATTCTGGTGATATGTTTACGCAAGGCCGTCCTACGTGCTCGTCCCTAAAAAGCTATCTTTTTCTGCGCACTTTCAGGTGTATATGTGTGGTGACCTACGGTTTCTGACAGTCATTGAAGCTCACCTTTCTCACAGCGGTTCTTTGAAAATGGCCAAGGGTCATAAGGGAAAAAGTGTCTACGAAGTTTATGAGAAGAAAAGAAAGGCCTCAGAAGTGGCAGATATATTTTGTAAAGCTTTGCACAGAGAGCTCTCCTTGCAAAGCATTATGGGATTTTCTGTCACAGCGGCCCACTTTCGCCATAGGCTGTTGCGACCTGACAGCAGCGACTAAAGGGAAGATTAGACTTCTGCAACTGCACACATCAAATGTCGCTTGGGTCTGGTCGCAAACCAGTTTTGCTGGTATGCTTCTGCACTGTTGGTCTGGAATTTCTAGGGACGCACAGCAGTTTCCCGCCAAAGAGCAAGGGAGAGCCTATTTGAGAACCCAAGAGAACTTCGGTGGATGACCACACAGCCGGAAAGGCATACCAAGGACCAATCACAGCTGCTTTTCATCTGCGCACTTCCGCTAGAGGTCTGAGCTGGTTTTCGACTGTCCAATGCATGGTCAGGATTTTTTTGGGGTGCGTAAGGACGGTTGTAGAACCTCTGCACGGACAGAGACAGATTTGACGGTTGAAGAGGCTACGCATCAGAAGAATAAATTGGCCTTAATGACAAAGGTGACGCAGGCACCGCGCAGTGGAGGAGGAGTCACGTGACCAACGGGGAGCAAAAAGTAGTGATCATCTGTCCGTACGGTAAAATAACTGAGTTCACTATAAAGTCCACTATATAGTCCCCGCTCTATATAGTGATTGAGGGATTTAGGGGTTTAAACAGAGCGTGCATGAGGGGAAATGGGCTCTGCATGCTCTTGCACAAATAAAAGGGTTCCTCTCAGGAGTGGGTACAGGGTTGCAAATATGCTTTTTTTTAAGTGGTGGGGGTCCGTCTTTTAAAAATTTGCAACAATACCTTTAAGATATAAATCCACAAACCTAAGATCTGGTACTGGTACTAACCCTTGCTGGGGTCCTTTTCTATTATCTTTGCATTCAGTTATATTAAAAAACATTAAAATATAAAAATTGTTGCCCGTTTCACTAATAGCTGCTTGCCTGCATATCCCTTATGTCTGTATTTTTTAAAGAATGACTTTAGGATTCAATGCCTAATTCTTTATGTAAGTGCACCTAAAAATCTTTCATAATACCAGACCACTAGTTCAATGTTGCCCAGAAAAGGCTAGAAGGGATGAGCCTGGAGGTGAGTGGGCAGGTCAATAAGATGTGGCTGAAACTGTCTGACTGGACAGAATCAGGCTCGCTCTAAGTTTACTCAGTAATTAGTGGGGGTGGGTAGTGAGAATTTAGCAGCGCCAGCAAGAGGAAAATAGCCAAACAATAGATAAGAAAAAAAAAGCAGACAATACATGTCACTAAAAGAAAAAATGTAGGAATAAAATCCATAAGACAAAAGACTTTACTTTAGGAGCAATGCTCCCAATATAGGCCTGAGACAATAACAGCTTCTCAGCTTAGAACCTGAGGCTACTTAGTAGTGTTGCGCCGATGCAATTTTTTGGCCCTGATACCGATACAAGATACCTGGTTGTGCAGTATCGGCCGATACCGATACCAAACCATCCCGATACCATCTGTTTGAAATTGATGTGTGTGTGTGTATATATGAAGAACTGCATACTACTTGGATGTAAAATAATTGCCATCATGGCTTTGTAAAGCTGCTGCCTACCTTTGTGAAGCAGGAAAAAAAAGATTAATACAAAGTGAATCCAGTAGAACCTTTTATTGGACCTGGAATCGGTGACAATAGTTGAATAAACTTCTGGCTCTCAAAATGATATCGGTGCCCTATTTGTTGGTACTCGCCGATACCAATACCACCATTTTAGTGCTGGATCAGGGCCCCTTCCAATGCTGGTATCGGTGCAACACTACTACTTACCCTTGTTTTTTTAATTTATTTTGAATTTACCTGAAAGTGATTTCAGTGATCTCTTTATAAATCTATAAAGTGAGTCTAATATTCTATATACTTTTATTTCATATTAGCTCTAACTCAAGCACCTCACATAATGCATTCAGCCTAGATAAATGTTTTAGTGGACAGAGTGGCCTATTTATGGCTGCAGTCTATTCATGGACACCCACGTCTCAGAGATGAGACCCACCCCCCCACCGCCGTTTTACTGTTTGTGAATGAAACGAAGGACTGATGAGGACTGGAGGTACCCTGCCTTAAACTAGGCTACATCCATAAGTCTCTTATCTGACCTCAGTGCTGTAACCAGCACCCACAACAACAACAACTAGACAGCTGCAAAATTAATCCCCCCGTACCCTGTTTGGCTCCATCTGGCTCCTAGTAGGCTAAGGCAGTCTGTAGCAGGATGGAAAGACCGGGGATGGCACAGGCAGCTGGGTCTAGCAGTGACATCACAGGGATGGCCTGGCTGAGCTTAGCGAGGGATCTGCAGGGAGAGAAGCCTTTCCACTGCGCTGACTTTATGAATGATCAAAGGCAAGAGCATATGGCATACAGTTTGCAGTTTAATGGGAGGAGGTGTGAAATGCTTCTAATGTCAGCAACGCTGCTGATCTTTTTATTGACTTGCAACACATCCAACCTAGTTTTTAATGAGGTGTCCTGAAGGATCTACCAGTTTTAAACATCTGCTTTCCAATGGGCTAAATATAGATCACGCTAAAATGCTGATGTCAAGCAAATCTTAGCACAGCTTGTTAGCATACTAATAAATGCCAATTAGCGCTTAACACCAAAACATAGCAGGGACCTACGATCATCCTATGCTCCATCGACTACAGGGTAAACAAAGACAAAGATGCTTCACAAAAACAAAAATCCCTTTTGGTTGGCAAAGACTTGTGAAGAGTTAATTAGGCCAAAGCTAATTAGACACATCCTCTCTGGTATAAGCTATCAGATGCAAGACTACAATCTCAGGCTTCTGTTGCACTTAAAAAATAAACTATTAAAATGACAACACATCATAAAAAAACTACTTTCTACTACTACTTAGCAATGTCTATGTCATATATCCATATCGAGGGATAACAAGGTTTCAAAGAGATTTGACTTCAAAGAGCAAATATTATCCCATTATCTCTAAATAGTATAAATGATAAACCAAACAAGAGAGAAAGAGTCCAGGGTCAACTGTTTCCTCCTAACTGCATGTTGCTGAATGGAAAGCTAGATGTTCACTTTATGAATGAAACAGAAATGATACATTTGTTCAGATAGACCCACTAACTGACACCCTATATCTGCTTGCTATAGTTCTAGTGTCCACTATAAAAAGCAGTGTCACATTGAATAGTTAATGCATGTTAGACTAAACAAATAAAAAGTATTTTATCAAATTTTTTGTTTTGCTTGTTTCTATAGATCAAAATCAAAGCAATAATACATGAGGCATAGCTATAGCTATAAAGAGGACAATTATAAAAACAAACAAAAACAAAGACTACATGTAAA